CTAACTGAGCAACCTGTTTGGACAAATTACCAATTTGAGCCTGTAACGCTACAATACCTGTACCAGGAGACTGCACTGCGTGTATTTGCGCTGGAATGGCCAGCTCGTGAATTTTATCAGCGATTTCGGGAAGATTTTTAAGTGGCTCGCTACTGGCCGCTAAAATGGTTTGCATGTTAGATGGGAGTCTATTCATCTATAATGTTTTAAAAAGTTATCCGTTAGGTTACCGGCGGCTAAGTCTGACATTTTAGACAGCAAATGAGAGGGCTTCATATCACCCAACCGTAAATCGTGCAACAGCTGCTTGAGTTTAACTGCCTCGGATTCTTCATAAACAGAAATTAATTTTTTTGAAAGATTTGTATTTATCCGTCGCCGGTGGTATTTCACGAGCTGATTGCAGTATCTCTGATTCTAAGGTCCCAATCACATTATGTTTCGGCTACGCGGGACTTGACGTCGAAAGGGACAGTTCTCAGAACCCGCACAATTCCAGGAAACACACGTAGCTAGAATACCATTTTCACTTACTACAAAAACTTGAACGCCAAACAGTAATCGATTATCGCTCAAATTGGGATCACGTGATCATTCAGAAGCAGAACTTTCGTCTTATTGGTTGTCTCTACCCGGGACTGAGGTCCAGCCGAGACATTTTCGGTGAGGTTTGAAAAAATCCCGTGTAGCCACAGCATTTTTCCGTAGCTAGGCGGGACTTCGCTTCCAACAGGGCTCTTTTTTCTAGGAATCCTCCCATTTTAACCAGTGCAACCAGAATCTCGTTTCTCAGAAATGTCCCGTCTAGCAGGGACTGTAGCCATATGCGATAACCTCTTAACGCGGCGATCGCTGTATAAAATTGAGTTTCGTCGGCAGTAATGGGACTTAACTGCGCATCCAATTGAATGAACCATAACGATGGGTCTCGGCGACAAAAAAGCGGTGGCCTAGCTGCCACTCGCGCCAATTGTGAAGCAGCATCGTTGTCAACCACTTTAGATCAATCAAATATGCACAATAATAATATTATAGAATATGCACAACAATAATATGTATAGAAAAATAATATGTATATAGTGACACAGTTTCTTGGTGCTTGATATCAGACAAATTGGAGGCTCAAATGCAGCAGACGATATATATATCCGCTGAAATTATGACAGAAATATGTTGACTCACCGGAATGCGGCACAACGCTTGAAATGACAGGTGAAATGTCTTACTTACATCTCATCACACTGGATAACTTACTGCTGCTCAGAATTTTGACATATAAACTCCATATTCGTGCAACATTGAAGGTTGCCATTCGTAATAAATACGGGTCACCAATTATGGTAGCACAATTTTTTGAGACACATCGTTAAATAATTATAACAATTGAATAGAATAAAAATTATTTTGTTTTGCTTGCTATGAGTTACCAGACTGGCAGAGTTGAGTTCTAGTAGGCAAGTTGCCACATATCTATTTTATCTATAATTTATATTAAACTTTTAATTGTTTAAAAACTGCACTTTTTAAAAGCACTTATATAAATATGTAAAATAAATAACACCTATTTAACTAATTCTAGACCATCGTATATCTGATTTATCCGCCGACACAGATGCATTTCCGAATCCAAGCCTAGTGTAGTTAAGTAGTGACTATTCTTAATATATTTTTGAGTATTTTATGGCAGATTCAGCATTTTATTATTATCTGCATTATTTTCTTATTACGAATATATTCTATACATTATATTACCGAAAGTTTTTTTTTTTTGGTAGGGGGGCGCCAAAAAAGTATTTTGCCCCGGGCGCCAGTTATGCTTGCTACGCCACTGAATATAATCAATATTTCTTTAGTAAATATATATATGTTTGTGTATATGTGTATGTGATGCTATAATTTAGTTCCTTGCAATAATTTGATATGAGACGAGTGCCTGACTAAGGAAGACATTGTTTTGCAGTTGCCAATGGATTGAGGCTAGAAGATCAATGAAAATATCGATTACATAATAAAAGATGCGGAGAAGTTTTGAAGAAACACTAAATTACTTGATAATCCAAATATCTTATCATTATTTGTTGATTGCCTTATGGCATGGCACATCAGAATGGGGCCAGTCTGCACCCATAAGTTTTAATGATGGCACATTACATTTTTAACAAAAGCAGTCAAGCAAGAGACGTCCTTTTGCTAGCAAGCGTAGGCAGGGAAAGAGGAAGGGTAATTAAATCACAAATGGTATTTGTAGAAAATTGTTTTGTTAATCTGATCGGCTAAAACTTATAGGCAATGCAGATGTTTAAGATGACATGATGCAGAATTAGTTTTCAGGTATGATGTAGTTTTGAGAAATTTATTACCAGAGAGGAAGTACCCAAATTAAAAATGAAATATTAAGAGGCTTTCTAAATTATAATTTTGATTTACATATCTTTTAAACTTTCATATTCTCCCCTTCGAAGAGAAAAAGGCTTGGCGAGAGAAAAGCCTTTTGAGAAGAAAGCATTAGTGTATTAGCAAAGGTAGAGAAATTTTGTAGAATATTCACAGTATCAATGATAAAACAAATAAATGACTTCGAGAAGTAATTTAGAAATACTGGAACAAAGTACTATTCTGTAAATTAAATTTAGAGTCCAATTTTAAAGCTCTTGAGAAAATGCAGCTTGAAGGTTACATAATAAATGTTAATAGTTTTTTATTCTTTCGCAAAATCGTAGTGTTATAATAAGTATAAAATCAAACTATTTCAATTATACATCCAGAAAATTCTAGTAAAATTAGTACTTATTTATGCATTCTAAAACAAGTCACCTGTTTTTATTGTAATAATTAATATACAGAAACAAACAAAATATGGTATAATAATAAACTTTGATGAAAAATAGCAAGTCCTCTACAAGCGACTCAGCGTAACAACTTGCTGATGGCTGTTGAATGCTTAAATACAGTTACACATAAAAGCCTCCTATCCTTATACAAAGTAATCAAGTTATGTAATCAAGTTATCAACCGTACCAGCTAGTACGGTTGATGAAGTAATTGCTCATTTATGTCATCCAAACTAAATTTAACTCCGCGCCTAATGAAATAAGGGCGGTTTTAGCTGCCAGTGGTGGCAGCTGTTTCTACTAATTTATAAATACTGCTAATTTATAAATACTACTAATAAAATAAAATAAATACAATATTAGTCCTAAAATTCAATTAATAATTAATATGGATAAAAATCTTATAATAAAAGATACATTTTGGCATTAGGACTATTATTTTAAAAGGCATTATCAATTCCAAACATAGCAATCAGCTCATCGTTGGAAAGGTATGATAAGATATCATGTGAAAAATATGATTTGTAAGAAACTAAAAATATTTACAAATTTAAATTAACAACATTAGTTTAAAATTTAAAATAGAAGAATTGTTCTTGAAAAACAGTAAAATTTGCAAACCTAGAGGAACTGCTAAATTAACTGTTTACATTAAAACTCCAATTATCCGAATTATCCGTTTGGGTAATTTGAAAAATTGGATGATCAATATACGATTTATTCTAGAGCCTCATCGCGCAACCTCAAAAGACTTACGAGAATATACCCTTTCTACAAATTTAAAATATATAATATTTTATGTAAAAAAATCATGAATATTAGTTACATTTTTTTAAGTACTAACGAAATCAAACTTTGACTTCTGTTTTGTAGAAAATCGTTCTTTTACATGCGGCTATACCTTGAAATCTTTCCAGGAACAGAAGTTAGCTGAATCTAACATTTAAAGATTTTGATACCTAATAGACATTAATCATTAATGCAACAATCTTTTTTATTTCCTTTGATTTCTTGTTCATCTTCAATAGACGCCGTAATCTCATCATCCGTTAAAATTTTGTTTTCAAGATCAATTGTTTAAATATTTAACTAATCATCTATTTCACATAAGCTTTATCTTCTTGACAGAAATGAAAATGCTATTATACAATAAAATTTTATTCAAACTTTGAAATTCTATATAACATCTTCACAGCAGAAATGTTTCACTTCCGAAGACTTTAAAGAATTTTTACGTTTTTCTTTAGCTATCCATTTATTGGATATGCAACCTATGACTTCTAATTTCATAAATATTTAACTAGAGGAAGAGTTCATCTCATACAAATATACTGAGGGACACAAATCTTTGGAATATTAATTAATCATTACGTTCATAAAATGAAACATATTTATTTGTACACGCATATCTGTTCAAAATGTAATGCTCTATAATAATTTTAATGTTCTTAGACATATTTGTAACGTTTAAGGAAAGTAAAAGGAAATTAATGAGCAAAGGTAATGATGATTATAAACATTGGTTCAAAGGAAGCTTTAAGACAACTATGTTACAGATTCCTTCAATGTGGAAAACTTAAAAGAACTGTGTTCTTGATTTCATTAACGCGATTGAAAAATCTGTCTTTAAGGATTTAATTCCTAACTTGCAATTCACTCAGGAAACCCAAGAAACCTGGTAAAAAGTCAATGTATTAGTTATCTTTTATTGATTATGCTACCCAATAGCTTAAGGCATCTTTTCGGACATTTTAGGTGTTTTATTTCACAAGCTGAACCTTGATCTTGCTACATTCCCTCTTCAGTCAATAGGCACACATTCTCCAGCAGTGTATGTTTAATGTGAAGTTATATGTTTTCTTTATTTCAGTTTTAATGGTTATAAAACACTTTCAAAACATATTTCCAGGAAGTATGCAACTCAGTTTTACTTTTATAAACTTCAAAATATTCCATTTAACCGCTCACGCCACTCAGGAAACTCTGTTTCTTAATCATTGCATTATCTCGAACCGCCAGGAATGGCGAAATATCCAACCATAAACAAATAATATCAAATGCAGGAACAAAGGCTTAATTTTATGCGATTGAATTTAATGGTCCACTCTAGATCGGCAATTAGAGTGGACGTAACCAAAGTGTAAAAGCTCCTCTTTGTTGACTCGGTGCAGCTGTATCTACGCTCTTGAAGGCTTGCTTACACACGGTGGCCGAATTGCTCTTTCCTTGCATGAAGGTTATTGTGCGTTATCGCTAAAGTGTTTGTTTGAACGGTTTATGAATAGATGTCTTTGGAGCAAGTTTGTCTTTTGCTGGGAAAGAGCAAGCTGCCATTTGCGGAAGTATTACGTTTAATACAACAGTTTCTAATCTTCCAAAAGGATTAATTTTGGCCAAATTTTTCTGAAGTGAGTTTTTACTGCAAATTCTTCTTTTAATATTATTGGTTGTTTCTTCAAAATTTCTGAATATTATTAGTGTGCTTTTTGATTCTTCCCATAGATTCATTTCCATGCTTTAATCTAAAATTTGTATGATATGAAAAATCTGTTTCTGTTATTCGTTAACTGCATTAACCAATATAAATGAAAATAAAACCATCTTACTATCTTTAAATCATCTTACAGCTGTGTAAGCACAGTTATCTCCCTCCAGTTTCCAGTTAGGAAACTGTCTTTAAAATAAATCTCAAGTTTTTTTTTTAATTGTAGTACAGTGAAAATATTGCTATAAAAAACCATCAACATAAAACAAAACTGTCAACATAAAATGCAACAAGGAAAAACTTCAGGGGATAAGAGAAGTAATAACAGATGGTGTTCTGATACTTGGGAGATATTTTTAACCGCAACAGAATTTAATTTAGTCATACGTAATCAGAGATGAATAAATATGAAATATAAATTGCTAAATTCATAAATATAAATTAGTGTGTGTCCATTAAGCTTTTGTTTCACATTGCCTGATCTTAAAATTTACAAGTAATATAAACAAAAGCATTGTTCCTTTTGTTCTGAATGCTGATTTACTTTATCTAATCAAATGAATGTATTTTAAGATTGCTTGAAAATGCAAGTAAATAGTTAATAAAATTTTCTGTTACTTATGATATAAACTACACTTTTGTCCTGTGATTGCAATACCCTCGAACGCTGATTATGGGCAACTCTAAATGTAATCTCTTTATTATCCCGGTCAGCCGGGAGTTAATAGTATACAGTTAAATACACCGAGTATGTAAAAATGTACTTATGCTTGTATCTTTTTCAAAAAGAGTCGAAAAATAAAATATTCTGATAAAGTAATTTATTGTTAAAAATATTAGATAATGATTTCTTTTTTACATACTCAAAGAATGTTTCTGTGTTACCTTTATTGAGAAGAAATAATGGGTCAATTTGAAAAATCGAAAAAGGTGGTAAAATAGATTTTTAGAACACCAACTAAAAAGATAGGCGGCTGCACATAAATAGCAGATTTAAAGCAGTAGGGTTTGTTATACAGAATTTTTCGAAGATACTTTACGACTAAAAGTCTCTAGAATAATAAGTCACACGCCGTATGGTTCCAGTTTATAAAATAAAACATACAAGCTAAGCTTTCAAATTATGACATATTTATCACACGATACCCATAAATATTATCTACGGTATTTCTTTCATTACACTTTATTACATTTCATAAACATTTTTTGTTTTGTTGCCGCAGTGTCCCTCAATAATTACTACTCAAATATTTGTAGAAAAGCTGGGAAAACTTCCTTCTGTTCAGTATGTAAAAATGTCGTTTCAGTAGCTTTTTATAATTTGTTAGAAAAATCTTTTTGAATTTTATTTGCGTTTGATATATTCTATATAATAAAGCTTATTGCAAGAATGTATTATATTTATATGTTCATGTCAGATGTTTAGCAGTTCTAGATAATCGAGATTCGAGAAGAAAAATATTAACAATAAGAGAAAAATTTTGTTTACTGTTTCTTAGTCAAAAAAAAAAGTACGTTGTCTATTAAGTTGCTTAGCTCAATAGTAATACGGATAAACTTTCAAAAGCTCAAAACATAAGAATTTCCTCTAAAGATTTCTTTACTTGGGACTTAACCACATGAAAATATTATTGCTTATAAGGAATTATCGCATTTTCCTTTGCGTGCTGTAGTGGTGAATGTTTATCTATCAATTAGATGAGCGTAGATCGAATTTCGGCAATAACACTTTTTGTTATTGACATTTCTCACTGCAAAAAGTCTAATCCTATCTACATTGAGAATACGAACTTGAATGTAGAGGATAACGACTCGCCACATCCTGGATTTGGTAAAGCGGCTTTATGTTTTCTAGTCATTTTTAACAGAATACAAATTATTGCATTCCCCCGTACTTGGTGTCATACTGTAAATGGTTAGCAACTGTATAACGTTGAAAACTCTTCTTACGAATTTTGTACATGCATAAATAATCTGACTGAAATTATATGTGAAATTGTTGTATTTTTTCTGTGTAATGTAACATAAAAAATCTAAAGAGGCGATGCTCTTCTCGAAAAATAAAAAGACAGGAGTAAATCTAATTAACACTGAGTAAATAGCTATCTCGCTAAATTGGCGAGATATCACCAAGCTGGCGACGGTTTCGGCGAATAATTTTTTTCGCTGTTTGGTGATAAATCTCTAAAGGTCGCCCAAATTGGCGACCAGGCGACATTTTGGTCCGGTCTCTTTATCATCGTAATAGGTATTGCAAATGAATAACTGTACTTGATAAATATGTAACTGCAGCCGCATCTGCCTCTCCCATACCTTCCAGTAATTTCGAGAAGTACTAGATATTTCTCGGCGACCGAATGAAAACTATATAAGACCAGAGCGAGCATCTTCTGTCATTTGCTAGTTGTTATTTCAGTGTGAGTTCGGAATACTGATATATCTTCGGGTTAGCTTCGCTCTTTAGATGCGTTTTCCATTGCATTGTGTTTAACGTATTTAGTGTTTTCAAGTGTAATGCTGATTGTACTTTGTGACCCTATAAAGAGTTCTAGGACTATTTTTATGATAGTTCCAGAATTGTGAAGTATTTCTTTTGGTAGAATAAATTTTATCAAGCTATCATCAATTATTTGCGCGTTCAATCTATTACGAACCTATACGCAAACAACGATACAGTAGTTTACATTTTATTACTCCTCTTACAGGCACTTGCAAAGTTCATTATAAAGAACACTGAACTTTTTTTATTTAAATACAAAAATTATTAGAAGAAACTGTATTATTCAAAACTGACTTTAACTATTGTACCGATCTTCTTTAAGTATACTATTTTTGTGCATAAAACGAGTAGAAACCCACAACAAAAATTTTTTTTTTATTTAAAATATAATAAACTTCAGAATATAAAATGAAATTTGGGTTTATAAAGGGAATTTCCAATGTTTTTGATAAATGCTTCTTTTAAAACATAAAGCTTGTTTTAGGCGTCTTGTCAAAAATGAACAAAATATGAAATTCTGATTTAAGAATAAAAATCTGAAACAAACTGTGCACCAGAATTTTTTCAAGTATATGCTTTCCTGCGAACAGTTTCTGAGACATGTCGAAAACGGAAAATACAAATTCGTTGACCTCTTGCTTTTTAATATGAATGAAAGCTACTCCGATAAGTCATAATCAGCATACGGTTTCTCTAATGAAGCACGCTGTTTTCCAAATACTTTCCAAGGATCATTAAAAGCTTTTACAGACAGAGTGCCAAGCTGTTTTAATGGCCAAAATAAACTGAGCAGGTGCAGTATTTTCAAAAATGATAAATCGTTTTTTATTCGCATTTAAATGAAATGGTTTCAAGTGCAAATAATGTCGTCCCATCTGAAAGTGGAGTTCACTTTCATAAACTCCACTTTTAAATTATGTTCATAAATTATCTAGAACTATGAGATTTTCCTCTTCGTTATAAAATACCTGTAATTTCATACTTTTCAGTTCATGAACAAAAGATTAACACAGCAACTTTCTCTAATATGCTTTTATTAATCTTCCTAATTTTAGTTTTAAAACACTTCTAATTATGCATATGAAACAAAAAAGTCAACGAGTAGTTTTGAAGTTTCGAATTCTTTACAATCTTCCAGGATCCCGTACAATCAAAGTCTTTTCCACTTGGTAAATTAAGAATTTAATTAACAACATTTCATCTAGTAACGCAGTTATTTCCCTTGTCAGTTTTCCGTAGTTCTCGTCATAACTGAGAACATTTAGGAGTGGAATTTCGAGAAAGTGATATGTTCTGAGAAATTACAATTCACGTTGAGAACAGGAGTAGTGTATACTGCATTAAATGAAACGCGTGTAGCATAACAGGGAAAAATTTTGATTTGAAGTTATGAATCTTGTTTCCTTAATTTTTTTTAATGCGCTTAAAGAAGGGAAGCACATTAGATTATACTAAGTTTTTTAGGATTAAAAATTATCCCCTTAACATAAATGTTCCTTTAAAATGCTACAAAATGATTAAACATTTGGTTAAATACAAGTTACTTTAATTAATATACATAGGCATATAACATATAATAGTGTGTCTGTAAAGATTTACGACTGCAGTTTTTCAATCAGGTACAATTATGTTGCCAAATAATAATTTGTAACTGTAATTAAAAATCATATTTCATCTTATAGGTTTTTAAACAACTGGTTGTTTACGTAAGAGATTTAAATGGAATTTTTGCTTACTGTTGTACATGATATCTGTTTTAATCCAGCGGTGCGCAAAGTTTAAACAACAAATTGAAAAATTAGCACAATCCGACGAAAGAAACAATGTGCAACAATAAAATTTTCATACTTAATACGTGTACGTTGCAAACCAATATTTTTAATTAGAAAATATGTTAAGTATAAAAAGGACCTGTTTGGAACAGAACATCAATCCCCGCGATTTTAAAAGAAAAATCAAAATAGCCAAATTTTGATAAATGTGTTGGTGGTGCTAGGTGAGGATGCTAAATGAATTGGTGTGCCATTTCAGTGGTGCCAGGTGAAGGGAAGTAACAGGCGTCTTAAAAGAAAATAGCTAGAGTCGGAAATAGCCTGAGCTCTAAATGTCAAATGTTATTTCGAGGCTGTGGAAACAGTTTCAGAGTGAAGCAACTGTATCGTGAAAATCTATAAGTGTACATCTAGGAATCAAAACCATCCAAGATAACGATTTTTCTGCGCCTGCAAGCATAGTCCCAAAAAATCTCTGCATATTAATATCCTTCTGACTTTGCACCAACATCGACAAGAAGATTAGTATGTGTGCTGCACACTGTTCACAGACAGCTACATGCAGTTCTGCATGCAAAAGAGCAACAGCTAGTGTCTCACTGACGTTTCGCACAGAAGAATATTCTTAAACTGGAATCTATTTTCTTTAAC